AAAGACCAGCTGTGAGCAATGGAACTGGAATCAATTTTACACTCTTAGTAACTTCTATTCAAAGAGATACCATGCCCTTCCTAAATCCAGCAACTCCAGTTTTAATACAGAGATAACAAGGTGTAGAGCTGGATGAACACAGCAGGCCAAGCAGCATCAGAGGAGCAGGAAGGCTGACGTTTCGGGCCTAGACCCTTCTTCAGCTCAAACCCAAGATGCTTGGAGAATTATACTAGTCTCTTAAGTGTCAGCTAAGCATCTACTCGCTGGCTGAGTTAAAGGTAGAAATTTAGATTTAAGTATTACAGATTCAATGGGAGTTCTGTTTCAGCTTCAAGTATCAAAACATCTTTCTATGCATTAATTTTCATCATTTGGGTCTATTACAGAGTCTCTTCACATCCTCTTCCCTGGGCAGCAGCAAAGGCTACAACATAGTCCATGCCAGCCTAGTCTAAGGTTGCCACTTTGGTCAGTGCAGTCTCAGTTATCTGCAGAAATGCCCAGCACTATAAGAAAATGTTCATTGTCCTTCTCCACTCTGCCAGCCTTAATGCCACCATCTTCTCTCCTTACACTATCTCTGCTATCTCACCCACCTCCCACCAAAGCTCATGCTCGACCACTCTCACTAATGCCTGCAACATCTTCCCTGCTTGCTGATACCTACCCCATCCGACACCACTAATCATACATGGTCTCTGCACTGTCTATTCACTCACTCGAGATACCTCCCCACCTAGACCAACAGTAACAGCTGTGCCACCCAATTTTATCTCCTGTAATACCGTTCCTCTCCCTTCTTCCAGGAGGAAAATAGCTTATAATTGGGCAGAAGGATGTAAGACAGACTGTAAACTGCCCAGTATTTAGCTCCTCCCCCTTACGTAGAGAGTACCCTGACTGTGACCACCCGAGCGCTGACTGACTGTGTGTCCAAGACCCTCAACTGGTATCAGATGCTACTCTTGTCTTACTGTGCTGGGATCCCCTTGACTTGACTGAGGCTTGTTAACAACCATGACAAACTTCCTGGCTTTGTGTCTGTGCTGAAAGGTAAGGCCAGACAGTGCAAAGCAGGGATGCTATGAGCATCCAGTCAGGCTCAAAGTGACTGAGTGCTGTGACAGCAAGTGAAGAGCCTGGAGATGTAGCTTGGACAAGTCCATGATATGGGTGCATGTCCCTGAGCATATGAGCATACAGTGTCTTTGTGGCAGCATTATAATAATTGTCAGTGCAGCCCAAACTGCAGTAATAAAGTGCAGAAACTTACTGTAAATGAATTGAGACGAAGTGGTAGATGTGGGTACAGTTACAACATTTAAGAGACATTCGGAAAGGTACATGATTGGAAAGGTTTAGAGGGATATGGGCCAAACGCAAGCAAATGGGACTAGTTTAGTTTGGGAAACTTGGTCAGCTTGGGTGATTTGGACCAAACGGCCTGTTACGGTGCTGAATGACTCTATGGCTCTATGTGTCGTAAGGTTTATTACAGGCTGACCCATCAGATACCATTGTCTGTGGATGGGTTTACATTCGGCTATTGGCTATGAAGCTCGTCCTGAGATTTTATTGCTATATGTTCAACATCGAGGTTCATTGGAGCAACTGAAGTCTGACCTCCGTGCCAAGAACTATCAACATCTAGCTTGTTTGGTGAGACAGGAAACTAAATATTAATAAGGTGACTGGTGGCATTAATAAGTCAGTTAACAAGCTATAATCACCGTTAATTAGTAACGCACTATTGACTAGCAAGAAACGCACCTTGCCACTCGGCAAAACCATAAAAGATACAGTGAGATGCTCTTTACATCAAGAAAGGCTTGCCAGACTGCCCACCTGATTCTGCCATAAACCTTTCCAGAGCCAACATTGCTCAGGACCCTATAAGATTCTGCCCTATGAGTTCTTTGATTTTCCCACACTGCCTGTTTGATATACAGGCCTGGACGAGTATAAATTTCCTTCAGACTGCACCACAAATTCCAGACCCTAACCACCAACTCTATCCCTCTGCCTAATAACACCATGAGACAGATACTACACGTACCCTTCATTTTATATTTACCGAAGTAAGCTTCCGATTAATACATATCCACTTCAGAACCAAAGCCGCTGATTTCCATTTCCATAATATTATCCATCTCCTCTAATGCCTCAGCTCATCTAGTGTTGAAATCCTCATCCATGCCTCCATTACCTGTCAGCCTGCCTATTCTACAGCTCTCCTAGCTGGCATCCCATCATCCAAGCTTCTTAAACTTGAACTCATTAAAAACTCTGCTGCCTAAATTCTGGCTCACATCAAACCCTGTTCACTCATTACCTGTCTGCTCACTGCCTATATTGGCTCCTGGTTTGGCAATACTTAAATTTTAAAAATATCTTATTTTCACATTCTTCCATAACAACACTTCTCCCTATCTTTGATTTGGCAATTGCCAGTACATGAGAAGTATCCTGGAGTTCCCACATTACACAGGACAGCCATATTCGAGACTGAAGCTGCCCTGCCATTTCTTTATTAATTTGTTAACCTTACACCTGCTAATAAACATTAGCAATACTAATAAACCTAAGACAGATAAATAAAACAAGGAACTGCGGATGCTAGAGATCTGAAACAAACAAAAGAATTGCTGGAGAAATTCAGCAGATCTGGCAGCATCTGTGGAGAGAAAATAGAGTTATATGTTTCAAGTTCTGTGATCCTTCTTCAGTAATTCTGTTTTCTGTTCACAGATGCTGCAAGGCCTGCTAAGTTTCTCTAGCAATTTCTGTTTTTGTTTATTTCTAATACAGTTTCTACTAATACTTAACACACCTAAATCTTAAAAGTAAGAGATAATACTTATCAGCTAACATTTGTTATTTGTTTAATATTTTTCTTGCTTTGCTTTTCATTCAGAATTTCTTAGAGTTAGTCCCTATAAAGCAGTACTCACCAGCCAATCAATTGCATTTTCCTGGCCCGCGAAATGCTGTTGCTATCTGCATGATTCAAATGATTGAATCTACTTTTATTTAAAACATACCAAGCTGAATTTTCTTAGCTGTCTGGGGACAGGCAGGGCATAACGAGGGGCTAGTAAAATTTGTGGGGGTGGGCTGGCATTAGGAAGGGAGTTAGTGTCTTATCACATGCTTTTATCACAGGCAGCAAAAGTTGGCATTTTACATGCCCATGAGTAAGGGTCACTTCCTGCTGCATCGAGAGGGTATGGCCAATAAAATCTGGTGGACTCCCAGCATGTTTGGTGGAGGGGAGGCTTCTTTATGGGTACTCCAGGAGCCCTCTCAACAAAGGCATGTTACTGGCAATTCCCCACAAATTCCCTTTCCCCCCCATCAATGGCCCCCCATATTGTTTTGGCACCTCTCAACCGATGCTACCTCACTTTGAAGCTGCTCCACCACTGAGACTCATTCTTCCTGCACTGCTAGTGATGGTACTGAAGAAGCTGTTCAGCAGCCATCTCATGGATTGGACAGTGGTTTAGCTGTCTGCTGTTAGTGGTCTCATCACTGGCTAAAATGGAGTCAGCTCCCACTTATGGCCCCAGCAGCATGTTTCTCATACATCCAATAAAATTTTACCTTGTAAATTATTTTATGAATTTAGGATATGCCTCCTTTGAAATTTCTTCTCTTTGCCTTATAGATTGGTATTTGCATTAAAAATCTTACAATGCAGCATAAAAATTGCAAGCGTGGAGGAGCAAGTTGACACTTAACATCAACAAAAGAGAGAACACAAATCACATTCCAAACACAGAGAAATATCCAAATAGTATGAATATGGTTAGATATGTGGGTTGTGCATGTATTTGGACTGCAAAATGGGAAACACACCCTTGTGGAATTCTGTGCATTACACCCTTCCAAGATGAAAGCACCTTTGTCACTGCTCCTGCCGCACCTCACCTTCTATACACTGAAGATACAACAGAATACTCAGTAACATCACAATGATTTGAGTGATTGATTTGGTTTGAAGTGGACAGGTTAGATTTCAAATTGTCTTGCGAGAAGGACCAGAGGTGATTGGGCTTGAAAATCACTGTGGAACAGCAGCAATGCTGAAATCCACTTATCTCAGAGCCACTTTCATGGAGGCCAAGTTAATGAGAGGTGGTCTCTGTCTCCCTTATCTGCATCAGGTGGCTACATCCTTCATTATTGGAGGCAGCTTTGGAACCTGCTTGCCATGCACCAAGCACAACTTCAGGTTATTGATTGACCAACACTTTCAAAGTTGGCCCAGTGTACACACTGGGATTTTGATTGGGGTCAGAAATGGGCCTGATGCCAAGGTCCCAATCCCAAAACAAAAATCTTGCCCCAGGAGGTCACAGGAAAAAATATCAAATTATTTTTTCACTCCAAGTGAAACAAAAGGCCAATTTCACAAGCTCATATAAGACAACAAAGAATCAAAATGGCAAAGAAACAAATCCAACAATCTAAAAGCTAAGATTAAGGTATGCACATCTAAAGGTACTTCTGGTGGATGTGCATCGAAATAAATATCTGACACAGCACAGGTCAATAGAAATACTAGGGACAGCATAGAGAAGATATGCTGTTTACTGGTTTCTGTGCACTCTGTGTCCAGTATTCACCTGTACAGGAGTTGTAGAATCAGTTCCTTATTGCAAAATTCAAGGCAGCTCTGCGTTCTTTAAACATCAGACCATGTCAGAGTTTCTATTTTTATACATTTTGTAATCATCATTATGGTGTGAGCTCATCGGTTGATGTTGATAAAATTAAGAGCAAATCCTGCCAGTCTTTGGCAATTAGTCAACAAAACACTCAAACCACACAAAATTAAATCAGAATCTAACTGTAAACAACATTCCAACATTGTTCCAAGAAGGTTTCATAAGCATTGGGTAATCTTGGCAAAGAATAACATATGATATGCTTCAAAAATAGCTGGTGGCTATTCTCTGAGCTTTCTTGTTGAAAAGCCTGTAACTTGACTTACACAGTTAATTTTTAAGCACAGCACGTGAGCCTCTGCAATAGTTGCATAACTCTGCCATTCAGTGTTGAATAACCAACGTTTTATAATCACATCCCACCCTCAAAATCAAAGTTGTATAAATCGCAAGCGATTCTTCATTTGAGTGGCACAAAATAAAAAAAGTCATCGACCAACAACAGCTGAGAGAAAAATCTGGGCACAACAATGTGAGTTTTCTAAAATAGTTTACTTTCAATTTACCAGATAACAGTATTCTTTTAATAAGACAGTAACTCAGTGTATATGAAGTACTTTGATCTCTCAGCATAGAGAGCTATTCTGCATAAACTGTTAAAATAATATGTTGAATTTCAACAATAATTTGTGCATTGATTTGCAATATACCTAACTAGAATTATTTTTCTGTAATATGCAATTTACATTACTTCTAAGTTAGTTATTTCAGAGTTGATGGTGTTATTGTGCTATTTGTTCAAAGCTAACAGTGAACAGATCATTAATATACAAGTCCCTTTTAAACTATATAATGTATGTCCCTTTTAAAAATCACTTTTATCCCATCTGGGACATGTTTGATAAAACTTTATTTACACTTGCGTGTAGAATTTTCAGTCTATTATGAACAACGCATGTTTCAGCAATGACAATTTGTTGGGTGTCTAAGTCATTGTAAATCTATGCCCTTTTTTATGCACGAGGAGAATCTCTGCAGTAGAAATCTCACTCTGAGCAGTTACAAACCTCATTATTTAAAATCAGTAACTTTAAGATAATTTATTTTATCCTTTTTTGAAATTGTACTATTGATGTTTGGATTCTGGATGTGTAGTGCTGAAACTGAAAATATCACTATCTGCTTTATTTGATTTACGAACAATGACACCGACTCCTGAGTCCAGACAGAATGTGATTTGGACTCTCGAACAACCAAATCTGATGCCGAGGAGAACCCAGACTCTGAGATGTTAGAGATGTAGAATTTGCTTTAATTATGTTGATACTACACCAGTGGTGGCTGCAACACTGCTTGTTAATACTAAACTAGTAATTCAAACAAACTTTAACAAAAGTTCAAGATTACTTTAATTTTTAAAACATTTGTAAGTGCTATACTGTAACTGTAGTTTTAAGCACTTGAAAGCAGTACCTAGACCCAATGTTGGGAAAGTAGCAAGAAAAGTATCAAATCAGCTGAGGTCAAAATTCCAATGTTTATGGGGTGGACATAGCAGAATTAACAATACATTCTTTCTCAATTTTCTGTACACCCTCACTGTAAACCTTTAAATTTCCTTATGCTGTATCACTTTCCTGCTACTTTTTTCACAATGTCCATTAAGTTTTGAGCTCCTACTAGTGCTGCTCTTGTTTCAACCGAGTTCTTTTAATCAGTTTTCACTGGAAATACTGCTTTAGTGGCTCCCAGAAAAACTTGGTTCTGCACACTGGCTAAACTGACAGTTGCCTCTGTGACACTTTAAAAAGATAAGCATTTAGGTTTAATATAGTCGTCACAATACTGCTGCAGAACTGGTTTGGTAATCCCCTTACAGGTCAATATTGTTTCTCTGAAGGACCATAATCATCAGTGACATGGTCTCTCAGACATTCCTAGAAATATAGTCAGCACGGATTTGTGAGGGGTAGATCATGCCTCACAAACCTTATTGAATTCTTTGAAGACGTGACCAAACACGTGGATGAAGGTGGAGCAGTGGATGTGGTATACATGGATTTAAGTAAGGCGTTTGATAAGGTTCCCCATGGTAGGCTCATGCAGAAGGTAAGGAGGCATGGGATAGGGGGAAATGTGGCAGATTGGATTCAGAATTGGCTGACCCTTAGAAGATGAAGGGTGGTAGTGGATGGAAAATATTCAACATGGTGCTCAGTTACGAGTGGTGTACCACAAGGATCTGTCCTGGGTCCCCTTCTATTTGTGATTTTTGTAAATGATTTGGATGAAGCAGTGGAAGGGTGGATTAGCAAGTTCGTGGACGATATGTAGGTGGGTCACATTGTAGACCGCACGGAGGGCTGTTCTAGGTTACAAAGGGACACTGATAGAATGCAGAGCCAGGCTAAGAAGTGGCAGATGGAGTTTAACCTTGAAAAGTGTGAGGTGATTCATTTTGGAAGGACAAACTTCAAAACAAAATACAGGGTTAACGGAAAGATTCCTGGCAGTGTGGAGGAGCAGAGGGATCTTGGGATTCAGGTTCACAGTTCCCTGAGAGCTGCCACCCAGGTGGATAGAGTTGTTAAGAAAGCGTATGGTGTGTTAGTTTTCATTAATAGAGGGATTGAGTTCAAGAGCCGTGAAGTTATGCTCCAGCTATACAAAAGCCTGGTTCGGCCACATCTGGAGTATTGTGTCCATTTCTGGTCACCTCATTACAGGAAAGATGTGGAAGCGTTAGAAAAGGTGCAGAGGAGATTTACCAGGATGTTGCCTGGAATGGAGGGAAGGTCTTATGAGGAAAGGTTGAGAGAGCTAGGGCTTTTCTCTTTAGAACGACGAAGGACGAGAGGTGACTTGATAGAGGTGTACAAAATGATCAGAGGTATAGATAGAGTAAACAGCCAGAGACTTTCTCCTAGGGTGGAGGTAGCTTTTACGAGGGGACATAGTTTTAAAGTGAAAGGAGGTGGATATCAGGGAGACATCAGAGGTAGGTTCTTTACTCAGAGAGTGGTAGGGGCGTGGAATGCATTGCTGGAGAGGGTAGCGGAGTCGGCCTCATTAGGGGCATTTAAGCGGTTATTAGATAGGGATATGGATGATAGTATAAGGTGGGAGTGGAGGTTAGATAGACCTTAGGATTAGGGTAAAATTTCGGCCCAACATCGTGGGCCGAAGGGCTTGTACTGTGCTGTACTGTTCTATGTTCTATGTTCTATAACTGTTGATATAAAGTGATCTCTCCGACAACATAAGCGCACCTCTCTTTGCTCTTGCTCATCAACATCCTCCATTTCTTGAAGAGACAACAGCATTTATAACTTAAAGACAAAGACTTGAGCTCTTCTGGCACGGTTGCAGTGTCCCTACCTCTGAGCTAGGAGGCCAGGGTTCAAATCCTACCTGCTCCAGAGGTCGTGTAATAACCCCTCCAAACTGGTTGATTAGAAAATATTCAGGACGATGATTTGGGTGAATTGGCCAAGTTTGGAGTGCAAATGTTTAATGGAAAAAATAAGTTATTTATTCATTCCAAATGAAAAAGAAAATTAAATTTACTGGTTATTTCAAGGCAAAAAGATTATTTCACCAAATTAGCCAAGAGCAAATTCAGTAATCTAAAAGCTAAGGTTAAGCTGTGCACATCTAAAATTGCTCTGGTGGCTAGGCACAGAAAGAATGTCTCAATTAAAGTGATGTACTATCCATGGAAATCCTAGGGACTGCACACAGAAGATGTCTCTACACTGTCTACTAGCTTCTAACGCCTCTGAATGTGTATTCACCTCTACAGGAGATGTAGTTTTAGTTCTTTCATGCAAAAGTCAAGACAATTTTATGTCCTCTCAATCATAATAAGGCTTCTCCCATTGTGCATTTTATAATCATTATGGTGTGAGCTCATTTGGTTCTGGCTGACAAAATTGAGTAATTCTTGCCTGCTACTGTAATTAGCCAAATTACGCTGTCACATCAGAGTCTTAATATAAACAACAGCCCAGCACTGGTTGCAAAAACGTTTCATAATATGAGGTAATCTGGGCAAAAAAAATCACATATGACATCTCCCTAAAAACCTCGGCATCATTCACACTTATGTTTCTTGTCATCTCACTCATTCTTATGACCATATCCTGTCACCCTTTCCACAATCCTAAATCTTTTGATGCCATCACTCCCTCTTCTCCATCCTTTATTGCTTTTAAAAAGTAAAAATCTATTTTGACTCACAGACTCAGGGAACAGGCTTTCCAGCTTCCTTTAAAATAAAAGAGTAAATATTGCATTTAGTGGCTTACCTGGCATCAACCATCGAAGCAGACTGGCTTGATCTCCTGTGATCTGCACCTGCTCATCTGTGATTCTTTGTGCGTTGTATGAGGCAGCAATGCCACCTAGGATTAAGCTAAGTATCAACTTTATAGTCACTTTTACTTTTTAAGTTAAAAGTAACACAATCTAGACTTGAGACAAGTTATGAATTAAACAATAAGCACAACGTAGAATGACAAAAAAAGATATGTGCTAAATGAATAAGGCCTAAATCTTCTTGAGTTATTACCCTGATCCTAATCCAATGGTGTGTCCACCAATTCCTGGAACTTCGACCTGCCCTTACAAGGTGAGGGCCTCCTTCCTTGGCTCAGAAGGGATCAATATCTTACAAATAGACAGTAGTGTTCTAGGACCCTGAACAATGATGTAAATTTATTTGGGCAGGAAGAGAGGAAGCAGGGGTCAAGGGGGATATGGTTAGGTTTCAATAGTGCTTTGGTCAAAGCTGCCCACTACCCTTTCCGAACATCTCCATGTGGCAGACAGGCAAAGGATTTTCTAGTTGCATGGGGTAGGAAATATCTACAGACTTCGCAGCTCACATCCTTCAATGTGGATTGTTTCTCTCACCAAAACATTAGTCACTAGCTCATTAGTGGCAAGCTTTTAGAGAGGGAAAGGAATTAAAGGGGATGGTGGCACATCTGTCTCCACCAGATTTAAGATCTGGGCAGGGAAGGTCTATGGTCAGCCTCCCCACCCTGCTGCTAATTGAGGCCTGAAGTGGCTAATTAATGACTGATTAAGGGCCTCATTAGCCACCACTTGGATTAGTTCAGCTGCAGGTGTGCCTATCACTATGCAGTATGCATGACAACTGGATCTGTGCAGTCAATTTGTCACCTCTGAGGGATAATGGGGGAACATACAATATGTCCCTTCTCTTGCTAGTGAATCTCCTGGTCCCCTATCCCCATGACTCCCACCATGAGCTACTCAATGCCTCCAACCCCCTGCCCACCACTTCACACAGCCATAGCCTGGCTGGCTTTGCTATCCTGGGGATCCTTTAAGCGTTTTTCTAGCAGCACACAGAGAAAGTGGTAGATGCAGATACAGTTACAGCATATAAAAAACATTTGGGCAGGTACATGAGTAGGAAACCTTTAGAGGGAGAAAGGACTAGAGGGATATGGACCAAAAGTAGGCAAATGGGACTAGTTTATTTTGAGAAACTTGGTCAACGTGGACAAGTTGGGCCGAAGGATTGCTTCCATGCTGCATGACACCGACTTCTTTCCCAGGATGCTGCTTAAGTACATGACTGCCAGCCCCTGATTGGCTAGTAGCTCTCAGTAGGAAGGATATCCACTTCCAGAGTCTTTGAGTCCAGTCGGCTCGCAAATGCCTGATTGTGGGCCTTCCTGAAAAGAGACACCAGCTCTTCAGCTGATGGCAAGACTCTCAATAGCCTCAAAAATATTTTGCCCATTGTTTCAGAGGGTATTAAAAGTTAATGTGAATGATTCTTCAAATAACAGTAAATAAACGTTTATAAACATGTTATTTCTATTTTCTCAAACAACTATACTATCAAGAATTTAAAGAAATACAATAGAGAGTGCAGTGTTTTACTAACAAGTAATGACGAAGTCTGTAACGTGAACTTTAAAATTACAACTCCAATGGAAAGCACTGAGAGCAAAGGGCTTTGGAGAGAAACATTTTTGAGGTTTTAAATAAGTCCACAGAGGCCAGTATCCCGTCACCCAGTCACCCTCTATTAACACATGGCTCATCAGATTCAGTCCCCAGGGAGTCAGAATCCCCGATACTCCAGTTTATATCTGTCAGCCACGGATCCCTGATTGGACCAGATTAACAGCCCCAATCAGGGAACTCATTTTCCATGATGTCCAGCTGGCTGACCCTATTACAATCACTGAAAGAACTGCAGATGCTGTAAATCAGAAACAAAAACAGAAATTGCTGGAAAAGCTCAGCAGGGTCTGGCAGCATCTGTGAAGAGAAACCCTAAGGAGTTCTGAGGAAGGGTCAACAGACCTGACATGTTAACTCTGATTTCTCTTCACAGATGCTGCCAGACATGCTGCACTTTCCCAGCAATTTCTGTTCTTGGCTCATTACAATCAATACAGGGTTCAATTTTTAATCATTGTAAGGAAGCAGGATAAAAACTGAATGAACCTGAAAAGAGTGACCCACCAAAATTAGCCTATCCTCGGTGGTGGTGGTGGTGGGGGTTGGGGTTAGATAAGACATCTGGGGCAAAATGCTGACTCATCACAGTTAAGTTTTGGATGCCTACATCATATCTGTCAACAAAGTACTGATGCTTCTGCCAAAAGGTAGATTTAAATATGTCATTGGAACAACTGAATAATCTAGGAACTGCTAAGAGCAGGAACAATAAATAAACATAACAAGGATGGAAATAACTGAACAAAACCATGCAGAATAAATAAACGTAGCAGTGTTGAATTATACAATATCAAGGAGATCAACAGGTAGGAGACCTATAATTTGCCTCTGCAAGAGAATTAGTGAGAGTTCCTGCTTCTGATTGCAAACGAGGTGACTCTCTCACACGATTAGAGGATCAAACTCAGCTATTATGATGCTCATAAACAACAGATTGGCATACCAATCATTTGACTCACATATGGTAACAAGCACCATAACATCACTATCTTCTGGAAAGCATTGTCATAGCGTCACACAGCACAGAAACAGACCCTTCGGTCCAACCAGTCCACGCCAACCATGTTCCCAAACTAAACTAGTCCCACCTACCTGCGTTTGGCCCATATCCCTCCGAACATTTCTTATTCATGTACTTAGCTAAATGTCTTTTAAATGTCATAACTGTACCCGCATCCACCGCTTCCTCTGGAAGTTCATTCCACACACAAACCACTGTATTAAAAAAATTTGCTCTCATGTCTTTTTAAAATCTTTCTCCTCTCACCTTAAAAATATGTCCCCTAGTTTTGACATCCCCAACCCTAGGGAAAAGACACCCGATATTCACCTTATCTATGCCCCTCATGATTTTATAAACCTCTATTAGATAACCCCTCAACCTCTTACACTCCAGTGAAAAAAGTACCAGCCTATCCAGCCTCTCCTTATAATTCATTGGGCTGAAAATTGAAGTTACTGTACACAGCAGAAACAACAGTCCGGGATGTTGCATTGCAATGATGCCAAAGTGTTCATGTTTGTGTAATATAATGCAAAAATTCAGTTATCAGTGATTGTCTTCCCTAGAGGTGTGCTACTGAAGCCCCTGCAGACAACAATCGTTATAATTCATTCAACTTATGAGAACTTCCTCCTTTTCTTTTAAATTTTAGTTTTAAGAGTGACAACTTGTTAATGAGGCATGGTTCTGAAAATTAAATGTTATATTTGTAAAATGTCAATTTTTCTTATTAAAAAAGCTTAATTTTTTTGTAATAACATGTTTCGAAGCTTGTTTACGGTACTTCAGCTTCTTGTGTGTGCCCTGGCATTTATTTTCATACTCTGCAAAATGTATAAACTGTGAAGGATAATTAGTGCATTTTACTTGCTTGGTTTGTTGAAAATTCTTCAATGTGCTTGATGACATCACTGTTGCTAGCTGCCTGAAGATCGAATTGACTTTGTACCAGTTAATCATAGAATCCCTACAGTTTGGAAACAGGCCCTTCGGCCCAACAAGTCCACACCGACCCTCAGAGCACCCACCTTTTTT